TAAAAAAGTTTCAGAAAAATGTATGTTAAATGTGCATATGAATATGCATACATTTGTAAGTACAAATAAATAGGAAGTCCAACAAAATAATAAAAATGATAACATGGAATGCAGTGGGGTAGTGGGATAAAAGGAAATTATAAATTGCATTCAATATTTTTATACGTTATTTGAATGTTTTACAACATAAATATTAGGGTGTACTTTAAAATGAAGCAGTTTTAATGTAGGGAAATATGCATGAACTTCCTACAATTTTTGATTGAAAAAAATAAAAATAAATGGAGGCCTCTACTGCACAAAGTTGAAAAGCCCTGCCCTACAGTGACACCAAATGGCAGATCAAAATACAGCACACAAACAAGACACCTGTTTGGTTTAACGGGCCCATAAAGGGTTTGATTCCTTTTGAAGGACAGACAGCTTAACGGAATTAAATAATACAGAGACAAATACTCAAAAACCTAGAATTTTTAATCAAAGTATAGTGCACTAAGCTTCAAATGCAAATTTTTAGGCCTTTTTCAAACTACAGCTAATCTTCTGATCCCACTGAATATTTACATATCTTATTTCTCACATAGTTAAACCAGGCTACTATGAGCACAGTAATTTTACTTGGTGGTTTAGTGATTAAAGAAACACTGCAGCCCGGCAGGGCGTGGCTCAGTGGTTGAGCATCAGCCTAGGATCCAGGAGATTGTGGTTCGATTCCCAGTCAGGGTACATGCCCAGGTTGTGGGCTCAATCAATGACTCTCTCATCATTGATGTTTCTATCTCTCTCTCCCTCTCCCTTCTCTCTGAAATCAATAAAGATATATTTAAAAAAGAAAAAGAAACACTGCATATATTTTTTTAAATGCAGTTATACAACTAAAACCAGGTTCTACTCAATGGGAACCAATCTTCGGTAAGTAGGCAATATTTTGAGGGATGAATAAAGTGTTGGGGCTAAAGAGAGAAGGAAGGAATCTGAGAAAAGAAACAGGCAACTAACGGATCTAATGAGTAAGTTTCTAGAAAGTATATTTTTCATTTCATCATCTCATTAACAGAAAATTAAGCTGAATAAAGCATGAGGCTAAGTCATGCCAAATATAAACTGATTTCTCAATAAAAAGTTTTGTCCTGGACTGGCCAAGGAAAATAATTTTTCAAATTAAGCAAATCAGTCAACACTCAGTGTCCTCTGCCCAGAACATAAACAAAAAAATCAGCATGTAGAGTGTCTCGTTCATTTCAAGTCACACAAAAAGATACAGAGATGGACCACATCCCAGAGCATTCCTCTAAAATACCATCTGACCAGAACACTAAGTCCAGAATTTTTGATGGGTCATTTTTCATATGCCAAAATCTCCCAGAAAATATAGGACACATAAATATACTGTAATTAGCTACAAAAACAAGTCAATAATATCACTACAGTTTTAGGCCCTAAATTCATAGCACTGGGTATCAATCCTAAAGGTACCAGCCCACCAAACACCACCATGTCACCACCACTAATACACTGCAATGCATAAACAGGACCAGCTCTAGAACACTTGAGTAGTGTCCTGACCAGACTGACTAATGTGTAAGTCATAAGGGTGACAAGGACTATTAGTTCAGAAAGGTACCTTAAAATTCTGAATTACTAGAAAAAGCAGATGAGCAACTAAACCCTTAGTTTCATAAAAGTACCCATGTCTAGTACTCATGGATTGAGATGGTTCCTTTAGGAAAGGAGATAATATCAGCAGTAAAAAAAAAAAATTAAAAAAAAATTTGCTTCCAATTTCAAGGGAGAAATAAATAAAACTGAATATGAAACTCCCTATTACAGGAATCCTGGAGACTATAGACATATCAAATGCTTTAGTGGTTGAAAGAAAGCTTCAAGAACATATAATTTAATGCATACTGACATAACATTTCTAAATAACATATATGTATACAACACTCTATAGGACATACAGCCCTGGAAAGTTGTATGTAAAGTAATACAAGACAAAAGTAAAACATATTTCTAATTTACATGTTATATCTTATGTATTCTAATTGGTCTTTAATTGACTCTGGTGACTAGCATTCTGGATGTGTTACTTTTGCATACTGCCTTTCTGTCAAAGACAAAATAATGTAAATGCATGCAAAAGTCCTGTTTGTTTATTCTTTTACATAATTTGTGCGTGGAATTAAAGCTGATTATATAATGCAAACAACTGTAGGAGCTCTATCCATTATTGTGTCAAATTTGGGTGTATGTTTATATACAATACACCTGAGAAATCTGTACTTCACAAAAATCAAATTAATGGATAAAAGAAATAATAAAACTCACCAGCAAGTAATATAACTGTAGAATTTTAACTGATTTTTGTTAAAATAAAAACAATGCTAGAAATCACAGTATGAATCTATAGAAACTGAGAATGAAACAGAGCTAATCACAAGTCTATGATGAAAACAAATGAAAAGGCAAACTTCAGCCCTATTTGGGGGGTGCTAAGGCTATCTCTATCTTCGACGATTCTCTGTTTATGACTCTGTGATGATTTTTCAGGTTGAAATGATTATTACTTTAAATCTAGGTTAGGTCAATAAGTAAATGTTTTTCTACAAAATAAAAGTCACATAAGAATCTGCAGTCTACCTTACCTCAAAGTTAATAGCACATTTTCCATAACATAATAAAACATAATTTCATTAAGTTTTTTACTTGAAACATGAAACTTGGTAATATGGGAATCTTTCAGAAATATACATGATAATTATAATCAGTCCCCTAAACCCATCAAATTATTATTACTTATATAATGTTGATAAATTAAAAACATATCACTCTAATGAATTAGTGAACTTAATATTGAGCTTTTATTCTAGAAAAAAGAATAGAAAACTCTGGCATTCCACACGGTTCTACATATATGGTGGTGGTGAGGGGTAATTTTCAACTACTGCTTCAAACTTTAAGCAGGATTCCTCCTCTTCTAGGGGGAAGGTAGAGTCAAGAAATAGGGGAAACTAATTTAAGAAATTGAGAATGGTAAAAAGTTGAAATGGAAAAAGGCAAAGGTGAAGAACATTACTATTTGACACTTATGTATATAATATCCATTTTATATATTGATCTACAGATATATATCCATATATATGTTTTCACTTTTTCCTCAACTTTATTTCCCCTTTCTTCATCAAAACAATCATTTTTTAAAATGTTAGTTCCAAACAAGCCGGAACTCAAAACAATGTGTTCTAGAATATTCATAATCAACAGATGATAAAGCACTGTTCATATTGTGCACAGCAGTTGTTTTTCAACAGCATTACTATTTCCACATTAAATTCCATTTGCAGTCAGGTATGACCTGCGATGGAATGAGTATATTCAAGGTCAAGTCTGAATTGACATGTCCTGAAAGGAAAGTGGTCCATTACTGTCTTAAAATAAAAACTATAACCTCTAGCACTAGTATCTGGGAATATAATTATTTTAATGTTCTGACCCCTATGAGTACACTGCTTGTAAATCACAGCTCTATGATTTGAACTCTAGTGTTTAAAGGAGGGCATAACCTGGCTATTTTAAATAAACCTAAAACATTTGCTAGTTTAAGTTCATTCTTCTGTGACAGTCACTAGAATGTGGGAATAGTTTTAAATCTTTTCAGTGATAGGCAGCATAAGTTGTTAATTAAGTAGAGATTTTCATACAAATTTGTATGTTTCAGACTTAAGGTATGTGGAAAATATTTTAAAATTATAATTTTACATTTTGTGATTTTCATTCAAGAGTCAAAACAATGGCAAAGATCAAAATTTTAAACGTCTGTGGTTAAAATTTTAATGCAAATTTTCCCTTATTTATTCTCATATGGAAGACATTGCAAGAAGAACATTATACAGGGATTAAGACAAAGTGATCAGGTAATAGAAAATAAAGCCAACAAGAAATAAAGGGGTACAGGGGAAGAAAAAAAAGAATACCCTAAAGAACTGGATTAAAAAGAAAACATTTTTGTAAATATAGTAAGTTAAAAAGAACTTTATAATAAGAATTAGAAGACGGTAAACAGGAAAAAACCTGCTTTTTTTCTTCTGTGTTCTATTCTGAGTTTTGTGAACTTGGTGGACAGGAGGAGGGGGAGGCACTGCAGGGTGGGCTGAGTAGAAGGGGTTTATGAAGAGACAGGAAGGAGTTTATGAGCAAATGCCTACAACATGCAAACTATGGTATGCAGATATAGTCGTTCAGTTAGTCAATCCAAATTTTCAAAATTATGTCAAATGCAATTTCATCCTGTCCCTGGAGATTGGTAATAATATAACTGAAGAAGCAAGGAAAAAAACAAATAATCATATAATAATAAAAAATGAAACACTACATTAAAGTATCATCATGATAACTGAGCGTAACCAACCTCAAATGCACATTTAAAGGTAGGAGAAAAAGGCAAGAGAAAGAAGGCTTGATAAAAATCTTAATTTTAAGTTGCAGCACAGCTAATATATAACATTGGCAAGTCTTCTCACCTCTTCAGACCCCAACTTCTATAAATAGGAAACTGGAACAAGATTATCAAGGTTTCTGAAGATTTTTAAAAATGTATTCATTTTTCAACCTCATTGCCACAAAACAAAACACCCCACAAAATTGTATTTCTAATTTCAGATCTAAAATATGAGATGAACTGAAGTGAGTGGTTAGAATGAGAAACTGAAGCTACTCTTGCTCTGGAACAAATCATAATTTTCATTTTACATTTTGATATCAGAGAACATAAAAATCATGTTTAGACTTTTTAAAGCCTCCTTGGACTTCCCTTATGGCTAGAGTTTCAATATATATTTTAATATAATTTCCCACAAATATCCTTAGGTTAAAAAAATAAAGAAATGGACATTAAAGGTTTGTGAGTAACAATGATGTGAAAAGCTTGACATTTTCTTTCCTGTTTTCCACAGTATTAATTAAAATCCCATCAAAGGAGAGTTAACACTGAGAGTACTCACCACAACAGCAAACTGCTCTGGTTCACTTAAGTTGTTATAGTCACTCTTGAACTGAGACAATGAATTTAATTGTTCTTGATCAGGAAGATGCTTTATTAAGTTCTAAAAATTAAAACCAAAAGAAAATATCTTCAATAAATGTGCTTCTTGAATTCTAGGTAAATTTATTAATAAACTCTGGGAAGGAAATCAGTAAAGAAGTCAATCTTTAGTTTTATTTCTATGAAACCTCCCTTTTATACTAAGCCTTAAGCTGTATTCTCTGCATCTTGAAAGCAGTTTTCTTCTTCTCTATCCAGAGTTATTATATATTCAAATCAAGCCCTACTGAATGTTTATTTGATTAGTTATATAATTGAGAAAGAAGAGCTCAACCTATACCAAAGAAACAGCTTTCTCACCTGGATAAATGTGATCAATTACATTTCAGCTTTAGGGAATTAAACGTCAGAAATTTCAGACGAAGCCAAACATATTTTAACACTTCACTCACGGGAATAAAAGAAATTATCATATTGCTACTAAAAGGCAAGGGAAAGCATAGGAAAGGAATCAAGGGAATTTTAATGATAGTTCTTGCAAGATTTAATCAATATGAGTATGGTTTTAATAATAAAAATGAAGATATCTAAAACAAAGACAAAGTAATTATTCTGATGTGAAAGAAAAAGTGAAAAGGCATTAAAGACACAATGATATACTTTGCAGATAAAAGCAAATGCATATATGGTCCCTTTAGGAACTAAGTGCCTGTGGCTGAAACGCCCTTTGCCTGTGTTATCTGCAGTCTGAAAACCACAGGTTCAGTCATTTTGGCTCCTTTGTCCAGCACAGCCTTTCCCAAGCCACACACACACAGACAAGAAAAACACTCCCAGTGGAGAAAGACGAAGGAATACATATAATTATTTTTCCCTGTTAGAACTTATATGATTACACACTCCCTCGGACAAAGTCTATGTAGATCCTCTGTGTCAAAAAATAATTGACTATAGTAGTGTTATAACAAGTTAGCATACTGATAATAAAATTAAGAAAAAAAGAGTAGTTTGTGCTCACAATCCCAAGTTATAATATCAGTATATTCTGTGCAAGCCCAAATTCAAGTTCAAATTTAAATTAAACCTACATCATGCTATAGATATTAATGGGGAAATAAGTCCCCAAAGGTGTTATTAGTTTAAAATAATGTTAGAAAATGTTATATATCAAAGTAGTCAAATCAAAGAACAAGTTTTTGACTCACTGTGCATCTTTGAACAAAAACTTGGTTGGCTGGCCAAAAAGAAACAAATAAAAAGTGGCAATTTAAGATTATCCCTAAAAAACACATTCAGTATTAATGCTACCAACTGAATAAAAACATGCAGGTAGTATATGATTTTTCCATATAAATAGAAATTTCTCTTAGTAGAACTGCTTGAGACCAAAAGGCTTGGTTATTTATATTTTCTTTTAATCATTCTAGTTGACAGCTGGATTACTTGAATTATTTATTACATCAGGCCTCTAAATTTCTTCAGCACTCTTTATATGACCATCCAATCCCCTTGAATATTTTTAGTTAATATATAATTAAATTTTAATCTCTCATCAGGAATTTATTAATTTTCCACTTCATTATTTTTGCTTCCCCGAGTAATAAAACTATCATGATTTGTAAGAGCACAGGCCCAGCCTAGCTTTGTGTCTCCTTTACCACATTCCCCATACACTTCCCAAATCCCAAGATCCTATCAAACTAAACTCTTCACAGTTGCCCACACCCTGGCAGCTTTTCCCTCACAGCTCAGGGTTTTATTACTGCCAGAGTAACTGCCCCTCACTCCAATCCTCACACAACCCTATGCCCTTTCCACATCCACACAGTACTCAGCCTTTGAGTGCCCTTATCTTTACACATACACACACCTAGCTCTCCCCTGACACATTACGTAGTTCTATAACTATTGTAAATCAGCTATGTTTGTCTTGTATTTTAATTATACATACATACATACACATATATATATATATATAAAATCTCCCTTGCCACACTATCAATTCCAAAAATGTAAAGTCTGTCTGATTGAGCCTAATGTAGTGCCCTGCACATGGTGGGCACATACATGCATGCATGTGTGCACGCAAGTGCGCACACATACACACTAAATAAATTAACAAAACATGGAACATAGGTCAATGGGTAAAGAATGAGGTGAGAAAATGACATCGATACTGATATCTTGTTATGTATGAATAAATAAATAGATACACATGCCAAAATGAAATCATGACAATGAACAAAACCTACCAAACGATTGTTACAAAGCAATGCTCTTTCCATGCCCTATTCAACATAGGCAGCTCTTTGCTTTACAATAAGAAACATATTTTTTACATTAAAAAAAGATAAATACCATGGAATTCTTGTTTTTTAATGAATATATGAAGACTTTGTATTGTCCAAGCTAAAGTTTTAGGTTTTAAATTCGTAAGACTGGTTTCATATTTAGCAAGTATGGTGGGCAGAATAATGATCGAACCTCCCCCAAGACATCCACATCTAATCCCCAGAACCTGTCAAAATATTATTTTTAGCTGACCTTAAAACAGGGAGATTATCCTGGATTATCTGGATGTGCCCAATATAGTCATAAAGGTCTTTACAAATGGAAGAGGAAGAAAGAACCATCAAGTGAGAGGGAGATAGAGCTATGGAAGAAACTAACAGAGAGATGCAACATTGCTGGCCTGGAAGATGAAGAAAGGTGCCCAGGAGCCAAGGAAGGAGGCAGCCATGAGGAGCTGGAAAAGACCAAAAAAAATACAACACACAAAACAAAAAAAAACAAAGTCTTCCCTAAAGCCTATGGAAAGAAATGCAAGCCTGCCAACACCTAGACTTTAGCACAGTAAGGCCCAGGCCGGGCTTCTGGTCTACAGAAACGTTAAAATAATACACATTCGTGTAATTCTAAGCCACTAAATTTGTGGAAAAGTGCTATAGCAGTAATCAAAAACTAATATAGTAATAAGTTACATGGAATTTAATATTCTTTGGGCACAAATTTCGTATGCAAATAAGTGTTCTTTCATCTCTACACAACAAAAGCCACATGATCATCCAAAATAAGTCATGTAAGCAAGTTAAAAGCTACTCCATAAATGTTTAACAAGTACATTATAAACAATATGAACATGTATTAGGGAGAAAAATTTTCTTTAAGGAAGCTGGAATCAATTAAGAAGGCGGCACAGCCCAAACGGGTGTGGCTCAGCGGTTGAGCGTCCACCTGGGATCCAGGCGATCAGGGCTGGATTCCCAGTCAGGGCACATGCCCAGGTTGTGGGCTCGATCAATGACTCTCTCGTCATTGATGTCTCTCTCTCTCTCTCCCTCTCCCTCTCCTTTCCTCTCTCTGAAATCAATAAAGATATATTTAAAAAAAAAAAAAGAAGGCACTTATACAATCAACAATAACAAAGACAAAGTTCTAGTAAAAAGAAACTGCAAGAGAATAAGTATTTAAACAAGAGTTGTTGAATCAGGTCGTTTATGTCTGAGATTCATAGCACAAATCACTAATGGGATTATATATTACCACTACATTCAGAAGACAAGAGAGGAGAGGCAAACCAAGAACAAGTCCTAAGGTTACCATTTATTGATGAATTAAAATCTCTACCATAATTTTAATGGCTTGTTGACACTAATAAATAGTCCTTGTTTTCTTTTCACTGCTAAACCATTATTACCCTTCCACTATAAAAATACATGATAGTAAACAAAAGATATCATCCTCTTGCTATATAATTTGTGGTTTGATTCTCCAAACTGAAATTCTATCTCGATATGTATTATTGATGCTTTATGTGGAATTCAGCAAGTAACTCTGACACCACACTAGCATTCCTTAAATAATACTGTCAGTAGAAATCCTTTTAAAAATCTTCCAGCTTTCTGAATGAATTCAGAACACTATGCAAACTATCTGTATTATGCATAGGAACACAAATGACTCCAGTAGGGATTATCAGTAAGGTTACTCTAAGTAAAGAGAAATCTCCCTTGATCTTATATTAAATAATAATACAACTTTAGAAGACATATAAGCCTAAGAAAAACACACTCTAAAAAGGTTATACAAATAAATTTAAATTAACACATTACTAGTCTTAACTGTAACAAAAACAAAAATGTAAAATTAAACAACCTGACTTTTGGAAAACAGTCATTTAAAATAATTGAAAAGTAATCATTTGATGGCATTATTATTTAGTTTGCAGTTAAGAGCATTCAGAGTTTTATCTCCTGGCAATGCAGAAGTTATGCTATAAGTAATTACGCAGCAATGATTTTCCGGTTGAACGATTTGGTTTAAGAATTTTGCTTCACTTACAGATTTCTTTTTAATCAGAAGCTTGCAATGAAATATTGGAACTTAAGCTCTCTGCTTCTTTGTTTACCTGAATCATAGGCTCTGCCAACTGTGTTTCATCCACTTCCAATACCATCATTTTGATTTCTTCATATGGCACCCGAAAAGAGCTCAGGAAGATTGCTAAAAGGGAGAATCAGTTCATAATGGATAAGGTTACGAAAGGAGTTGGAGACATAGTTCTACATGTGAAATTGAAAATAATTCATAAAACTAAAGATTTTAAAACATTTAATAAAATTAGTGTGGGGGAAACTTTCATTAGCACATTTTATACTTCTCCAGTTTTAGACCCAGTGTTTAAACAAGTCCTATATGATTATGCTGATTTCAAGGTTGATTTTTAATGATTAGTTATTAGCTTATCATAGGAATGGTGCGAATTTTCAAGTGATTAAAAATAAAATGTTTGGTTCACTATAAAAATATCACATTATAAAGAAAAGAACCATAAAGACCCAATATGTGCATGTAATATTTGTCTAAACATGTGTGTTATTAGCTTGTATAGTATCTTCCAGCCTTACTAAATAGTTCAGAAAAAATATTTTAGGAAAACTGCTAAGCAGGATATTAACACTTTTACAAGTTACAATAATAGTTCACTGTTCAGAAATATTATGCCAGACATCACTGTTCAGACATTATGCCAGAGAACTAGTCTTTGCGTGTCACTAAAGCTTAGATATCCACAGTTAGAAACAAATTTTCATGGAAAACTATCCAAATGAATTATATGAGATACTATGTTATTACTGAGAATTCCAACATTACTTAATTTTTGGTACCTCCTATATCTAGTGCTAAAACACAATGGTCTTCTCAAAAAGCTACGGAGGTATACAAGATACTGCCACAGAACCTGATTTGATGCTTTTGCTGTTCTCCCCTTATTCTGCTATTATTGTTGCTTCTCTCCAGAGACAGGTGTCACTTATTGAACATACTCAGGGCTTGCTAACCACTAGCCCACTATTTTATATACTGAGCTTACGTAATTCTGTCAGTACGTATTTTCAAATAAAGACACTAGTTTTCATCAGACTCAGAAAATATGATCTACTTCTCTCTTAGAGTACGGCTGTATTCCAGATTCCTGAGGATACCATGTATCACCTACACTGAAAAACAAAGGCACCCTCTATGCTCTTATCACTAGCTTCATTCACACATTTCAGAATCAGTCATAAGTCTGGGATAATAGTGCTATAAAGTAGGNAAACAAAGGCACCCTCTATGCTCTTATCACTAGCTTCATTCACACATTTCGGAATCAAACAGTCATAAGTCTGGGATAATAGTGCTATAAAGTAGGTGTAAAATATGAACATGTGTAATCCTTAATATCACAACAAGATGAAATAAAGAATCTAAGTGATGTTGTAACAGATCGAGATTAATGGAATTACAAAAGAATAACCCCATAGTAGACATTAGAAAGCAAGAAAATATGGTAACTAATATATGCTCTTTAAGAGTAATTGATGAATAATTGATGGGGAGGGAATAAAGTCTAAATCTGAACATCATGTACAAAACAAGTTGCATATGATTGTAGAATTAAATATAAATAGTGACAACAGAAGGAATACTAAAAGAAAATTAGCATGGCAAATTAGCTCTTTTATGGTTAGAGAACTTCTTAATCATAAAAACCAATGGAAAACATATGCAAAGACTGATATCTGACAACATGAAAGAAAAACACTAATGTCAAAGTACTTAAAGCAATTAAAAAGCAAGGAAGCTGGAAGGATAAACATGCTTCAAAATTCACAGAGCACTTGTTTACTTCATTTAGAATACCATTAGGTCCAAACAGGAAAATGGGCAAAATGTATGTAAACTCAATTAAAAGAATAAGACAAAAATCACCTAAATAAATGTAACATGCTAAACCTCAGGAGTAAGCAAATTGAGAACACAGATTGTTAAAATATAATCTGAATTGAAAACTTAGTAAGATAAATCAGAATATTTCAAATTATTAATTCCATTTGAGAAACAATAAATTCCATTCAAGAAATCTAGTCTATGGAAACAACATATAGAGAAGGTTATAACATTAAATAGAATAATCAAAAAGACAGAATTCCTCTGAGGCATAATACAGTAACTGAGACAGAAAGAAATGATAGTTTTATATTTTGGGCAGTAAGGCAGAGAGATACTTAGAAGAGAGAGGTATCTTAAAATATATTTTTTAATCTTAATATTAAATGCAGTTCTGAGCTGTCCTGAAAGAAAAGCAGAAATCCTGGGAGAAAATAACTATTTAAAGATAAGAAAGGAAAGTTTGAAGCATTGGACAGGAAAAAAAAACATTACTAAAAAGAAACAAAAAGATTTAAGGGAAAAATGCAGAATTTTTAGAAATCACATGTATAAATAAAACTAATGAAATTATAAATTGAACATATGAATTAGACATCAAGAACAGAAAAGTTGTGACATGAAAGATTGGAATCCAGAGTGTAACATAAAGAGTTGGAAAAATACAAAGTTATGAGATATAGATTAGTAAAGATATTTAAAAAATATCTACTTAGAGTTCCAAAAGGAAATCACAAAAAGAACAGGAAAGAAACGTATATGAAGAAAAAATATCAGAGAATTTTCCAGAATTAGAGAGACACAACATATGAGATCAAGGAGCTTCAACAAGTCTCAAGCATAATTATTATTTTTTTAAAGCCACACTAGATAAACAAGCTTTTGGAAGGTCATAGAGTGGGAAACTCAAGCACTGATGGTATAAGAGTAAATTGGTACAATCACAGAACAGGCAAACATTTAGAGTAGGGGCTACCACACTTTTTCTCTAAAGAGAAACACAGTAAATATTTCATGATTTGTGAGCCACACAGTCTCTGTCACAGCTACTCAACTCTGCTATTGTAGCACTAAAGCAGCCATAAACAATGTGCAAATAAATGTGCTGGCCAAGTTCCAATAAAACCTTGTTTAAAAAAAAAGGCAATGGACAAGATTTGGCCCAAGGGCCACAGTATGCCTCACCCTGCCTTAGTAACACCAAAAATGGGAAATCCAAATTCAACTAAGCATTGAATGAATAAAGTATGGTATTAAAAATTTACTTTGCAGATAAACATACTTTATTCCTTTACTTTTTTCTCTATTTATAATTCATTCACTATTTCCATGTATTATTCCATAATTAAAACAGCATACACATTAAACACACATATTTAGAAAGACTGAACTCGTTTTTTTAATAGTTTATGAATAAATTCTTTTGTGGAAAACATTTGCTATAACTAAGGGCAGAAAAAAAAACTGCCAAAGAGTTGAAAATGGCCTAATGCATAACACACTATTCAGAAGAAAACACATTATTTTAATAGTTAAAAGTTACTGAGAATAATATAAGACTCAATTACAGCCTCCAAAAGACCCATTAAAATTAATATTTTTACTAACATGCATCTTATCCTTCAATATGTGATTATATAGATCCCAATGGGAAGCTTTGTGTCATTGAAGGAGGGTAAAGTGTGCAGATTTTGGAACCAGTCACACGTTTCCTAAGGAATTTATAAATATTTAAACCTTTATGTTAATTTGTAGATTCCTGGGTTCCTCCCTTTACAGCTCTAATACCCCCTCCAAAAAGTCTTGTAAAGCACATGAAACCTGTAGAACTCCTGAGCCATCTCTTGGTTCTAGAGTGGCTGGAATTCTATCTTTTATGCGTCCAAAGTCTTTGCCAAAACCTCTATAAACTCAAAATATTTCTTTAAATAAATAAATGGGTGATTTTAGATCCTTTCCTCATAATTCTATAGAGTATTTCAGTTAAGAAAAATCGAAGAAAAATTAGATTTCTAAGTAACAAGATAAAGTCTTGTCACTATCATAAGACTCTTTTCTCGGAATTCAGTATCTCAAAAGACTGAATTTCATAGTCAAAAAACAGCTGTGAATGAAACTATAATTACAGTAAAGATTTTAAGGCTGCTAAAGCTTCTTATAGCTTAAATCATAACACTTGCTACAATCAGAGAGAGCAAGACTACTACTAGAATGTATTTCATCATAATATGACACGGTATGATACTGGACCTTTTGATCTTATACTTTAAAACGTGATTAACAATTAAGTGAATGGATACATATATATTCTCTAGCTAAAGCAAACAAAACAGCATCCTGCTCTATGATAATGTCATTTTGTTATCTCTAAGTAGGAATAGATATAACTAACATATACCTATTGGACACTTTCAAAATGAGCAATCTTATTCAAGTCACTGAACTGCTCCACCCACCAGATTCCCTACCTACCATGTCAACACTGCTACCTACGCAGTGGGCTGTGGCAAAGGCTAAAGGGCCGAGGACACAGCTAGCACATAAAGGGAATCAGTAATTACTATTATAATTAAATTTGAAATCCTATTTAGCACATCTTCTATAACATGTAAATAATACTAAAGAACCCTGTCCAACAAGTCACATATTCAACTTTAAGAGGAATATGTGGGCCAACTTACCATGGCTGACTCACTTAAAAAGCATTCTATTCAAAATGATATATCTTTAGGACCCATAATGAGGCTATTTATAGAGACAAGACTAAGAATTTGTAATGCAGGTCATGGACATTTTTCAAGAAAATAACCATCTCTTTCAGATCACAGAACACAAAACTTTTTGACATTATCCAAGTTAATAGTGCTTTAAACTGAGTTGATGTTCCTTTAAGGGAGGAAATTCCATGAAATATCTGTATTATGTAATAATCATCAAAACTTCAGTGGAAAAGCACAAAACAAAAATAAAAAATGAATTCTAATTCAGACTACACGTCCATCACACACATCTGAAAGGCAGGGCTCTCTTACTCATGATCCTCCATCAGGCTGATGGACACCATTCTGACTGCCATTCTGGGTGAAGGGGAAGAGCACTGGACTTTCTTGCACCAGCAATTAAATGCTTCCACACAAAAGTTATCGCATCTCCACAAGTCACATGGTCAACACCTAACTTGAAAGGTGTTATGCAATCAACTTGTGGCCAGACATAAAGAACTATGTATTGGCCCATAGCATTAATGTCTATATAGTAGTCAGAGACCACAGCAGCCTACACTACAGAAAAGGGATGGCCCTCTATCATAGTGACTGTGAAAGGAAGGAGGTTCCATGACTTTCACAAAAGGAACAGCAACTCTGCCTTTTGCACACACAGCCTGAACTCCCTCTTTAATCAATAGCATGGATCTTTATACTCTCAACAAAGAACTTTTGTTCGTACTTGCTGAGAGCTTACTTGAGGCATGTAATAACTAAAAGGCAGGCTGAAAGCCATGTGAACTGTTCATGCCTCTACGTTCTCCACATGACATCCCACCTGCACCATCAGAAAGTAATATATACAGACATTATCTCAGTTCCAAGCAGAACCATCTTTGATGCAGTTAAGGATGTTAGAAATGAGTTAGAAGCAAAACGATTGGCCCTCTTCTCCCACAGTAACTCAGTCAGGAAGACAGTTCAATAGTAAGTATTTAGCTCCCTATAACAGTAATTAAATCTAAAATATTTCCAGTCAGTACTTTTGAAGAAATGCTTTGAACTGTTCAGATGGAATAATGAAATTCATTTTACTCATCATTCCTTATTTCCATTAATATTCCAACCTCCTTTGTGTGTGATCAGGAATTACAAATAATACTCAGACATATAAAAGAAAGAATCCACTACAAAATTTATTTCATAATGTCATCACTTACTTCCTTAATTCTTTACTTATATACTTAAAAAAGAGAATTTAAAGGGTAGTTTTCTTTTCAATTATTGTAGATATATTTTCATTCTAAACAGTTTTCTTAGTTTTATTTTATAATATGCTTTAATCTTTTGAAGAATTTAAACCACAAGTTGCCTAAAGTTATCTTTGAATTTATTATGCAAATTATAAAAAATAACAAAATAAAAACAAGTCATAAAGAAAATGAAATAATTTAAAGACAATACCTCTAGCATGTCTTACTAGTTTAATAGTATTAAAATCTTATACTTACAAAGGTTCTGGGCAACTTTAGAATCTAGAAATTTAAGTTCTTTAATTTTTTTTTTAAGAACTTTCTTCTCTTCAAAATCTTCCTCTTCTCTTCTCTCTGTAAAACCAAGAATAGATCCATGTTAGGAGCAGGAAGATGTTCAGCTGCTAAAGGGCAGGATGTGAACTTTCCATCATCAAAAATCTAAAAAAGATACAAAGCTTTTAAATCACCATAGTCATAAAAATAATTAAGTAATAGATATCCCAAGACCTAAACTATTTCAGATAGGTACTGGTGGCTCTTATGCTAGAAAAGCTATTAAGTGTAAATATTTGAAGGACTAACAGGAAAAACAAAAATAAATCTAATGTACACTATAGAAACCAATACCACTGAGTGCAAGAATAAGTACAGGTAGCTCATTTGAACAGTATACGAGATACAATTATAACATATATATATGTATGTATACACACACACACACTTACACTTAGGATAGTTGAAGAAGTTAGCTATACGAATGCTAAACAAAAACAAGCACACAGCTATTTTATGTTTGATATACCATGCTTATTTAAAAATACAGCTCAAACAAAACTGGAATAGTAGACCGTTTACAATTTGTTTTCCAAATCTTCAAAAAATAGTCAGATTTTGATACTCAGCCTATTTTATTTGAGTGTTTTAAAATCAACAAATGTATTTAACCTCTCTATCCTTGGTAATAATAATAACAATGAGAATACATCACGCTAAACAACAATATATGACCTATAGTTACAGCACAGTATTTAAGAGCCGAGGTTATCAGCTATAACCAATAAAGTGATCCTGTCATCTTTTCTCTTATGTCCATGGACAGCGCTTCTAGTCAAAGTCAGTCATCTTACAAAATTAGGATTTTGATAACAAAGAACAATGGAGTCAAGTCTTTAATTAGACATGTACAAATAGAACACTAATTTGGGGGAGAAAATAACTTAAAAAGCATCTTCATATATATAGGATGGCACATTATAATTACATGATTATTATATCAGAAAAGCATATTATAATTACATGTGTTTGGTACATATGTGAGATATGGATCAAATGTCATAGTTGTCAAAATATTAACTACCTCTGTATAATTTTGTGAGTAATCACCAATCTTTCTCAAGTGATTTTACATTCCACTTTTATCCTATACTTATTTTTCTAAGCTTCTACTTCTGTTGCCTTGTTCTAGGTCCTACTCCTGTGCTACCATCACTCTGTCTTAAGCACTGTTAACATCTTATTAACTGGTTGTTCAAATTTTTCTTTGTTTTCTAAATTGTCTTCACTTTTCTCACTCAGTTCTTTTTCCATTTGAACTTTAGAGTAATTCAAAAGTTCCAAAAATATAATCCATTTGAACTGTATTTTAATTGCAAGGCATTTGTAAATAGATTGGGGAGACCTGATATGTTGACAATTTTCAATTTTTCCAATCATGAATATGACATGTGTCTATAATTATTCAACTTAACATAGGCAACCCATATATTTATTTTTAGTGTTTGGTGTCTTAAATGCATCTAAATTATACTTTTTAGTATTTGGGGGCGGGGGTGGGGGTGGTTAATTCTACTTTTCCCTGCTGTGCTTTTAAACTATTACTGCTGGAATGTAGAAACTTTGCTGAATTTTGCATACATGTTTTATCATCAGCTGCACTACTTATTTATTCTTTCATTCAAACAAGAAATATTTATAAAGCACCGCCTAGAAGGGTCTATGCTAGGCATGACAGAAATAACACTGACAAAACAGACGCACAGGTTCACAGAGGTTACGGAGCGAGAGAGGGGAATATGAAGTAAACGGCAATTACAATGCATGGCTGTGTCTTCGGTGTCTCGGTAAGCACCGAGGGGAATGAAGAATGGCCCCTTCACGAGTGCTGGTCAGGGACGGCCTTCATGGGAGTGACGCCTAAGCAAACGCTTACGAGAGAAAAGGAGAGAGGCGGGTGAGGTTTGGGGATGCAGGGAGAAAGGCCCAAATAATGGAATGACAGTGTTTTGAAGGCTGCAAAGTTACAAGAACATGAAGGGCACAGGAAAAAGTGAGAACAGTGAGCAGAGGATATTGAATGGAAATAAATGATGCCAGAAACTAGTCAGGCACCAGATCACGCAAGACCTTTTAAACCGGGTGAGAAGCCTGGATGTCATCCTCCGAGCACGGAGGGGCCATGTAAGGCATAAGCATGAGACACGGCAAAGTTCCTGCATTTCAGGAGAAACTCAGGCTGTTGAAGGTGAACTGAAAGAGCGGCAAAAGTGATGGTGGAGGCCAGGCAGAAGGGAGAGATGGTAAGCCAAATGACAGAAAATGGCACGCTCACCTAGAGAGGCAGCAACCAGGATGGAGAGAGGGGTGAGTTCCCAAAGTAGCACCCAGCCCACATCTCTCTCCTGAATTCCACACCTGAATATCCAACTGCCTACTCTCAATATCTTTACTTTGATGTTGAAGGGCATCTTCAATTTGACACGTGCAAAACCACACTCACACACACCCCTACGCTTTCAACAGTTTTCCTCATCTCAGAAAAGGCAGCTGCAATTTCTCAAGTCAAAAAGTGTGACGTCATCCTCCTTTCCCTCAAAAACCACATTTAAACCCATCAGTGAATTGGCAAATTCTAACCTCAAAATATTTACTACTTCTCCCCAGCTTGTGGCTACTGTTCTTTCTCACCTGGACCACAAGTGCTTTCTAATGTATCGCCCACTTCCAGTCTTGACGAACTGCAATCTCCTCCACTACACTGCAGCAGAGGAATCCTGTAAAGCCTTCAAGAAAAGCTTCCCTTACTGACTTGTACAGAATAGCAACCCCCTCCATCCCCCGACCACTGTATTCTCTATCACCATCATTCTCACCCAGCTTTCCTCCTCCAAAGCACTTACTCCTCACATACCATATATTTGAGATTTCTCTCTCCCCCTATTTGAAAACAAGGCCCTTAAAAGTAGAAACTCTGTTCACTGTTATATTCTTAGCACCAAGAATAAGGCCTGGAACATAGGTGCTCAATTAATGTCTGTTAGATGTATGTGTGGATGGACGTATAGCTGTTTGTGTGTACGTATATATGAATCTACCAAATAAAGAAAAAAGGGGGCAATCAGGATGCTTAAGCAACCAGGCAGATAAGAAGCTGTTTAATTCAGCAACAAATGATCAACAGGTTTGAACTAGGCCAGTTTTCATCACGTTCAGTTTGTACATGCTCATGTGCATGAGGCAGCTGGATGTAGACTGGAGAAGAGAAATCTAGAATGGAGATCATGTTATCAATCCTGTTAGTTATTCCAGCCACTGTCATAGGTTTCCCAGGGACCAGCAAATAATGACACATCTGTCTCCTTATTCCGAGAATTTAAACCTTTGCCTTGACTTGTTACAGTGGTTACAAGTTTCAGTTAAAGGCTAATAAATTTATGTTAGTGGACTTTGTTTCCTTTGCCTGACCAAATGACCATCCTCTACTTTTTAGAAAGTATATATTTTTTACTTTCTTATCACCTAGAGAAGGGCAGATTCTAATTTTTTCATCAGTTTATTTCTCAATGCCAGTATCCTTTCACTTTCTGAAACATTTTTTAGTTTACCTAAAGAAAAAATTCAAAGAAACTAGTAACTTTTAATTTTAAACTGCATTTACTGAGCATCTACTAGGCACTGCACTGAAAGCTTTCTGCTGCACTTTCTTGAATAATACTCATAATAATCATACTCCTACTACTATCATCATCATACTAACGATAAGAAAAATAATGCTTAGGTTAAGTAAATTTAAGGAATAGTTCCAATAAAAGAATAAAGATCACTGTACTTTGACTTTAATGTGCTTTCCACTATTTGTGGAATATATTAGGTGTCACATTAAAAAAAAAAAAAAAAAAGTGTACCTAACAATCTTGACCACTTCAACCTCCAAATTAAAGAAGCAATTTTAATCAATTCTGCCTTTTAACAAAAATGACAAATTAGACTCTTGCTGAGTTTAATGCATCAGCATACCAATAATGCAATAAAATTATGAGTTTTTACTCTCTCTTCTCTGCTACCATATAGTAAAAGGATGACTGGCTAAAGATAGAGCATGAACAAAGGAATAAGCAGCAGTTTTCTAAGAGAGAAAACAACAGGATTTTTTAAAAAGTAGAAATACATTTTGTTGATATGAAATCAGGTATCAGTCTATTATCCAAATAAAATGGACAAGAATCTTTTATATGGGGAAATGAAAAATAATGTTAAAAAAAACTGCAGTCAGATAATGGACTACCTCAAATCAGTGGAAAACCAATGAAAATGTTTATGCAAAGGTCACTGATAAAGCAGACTCTAAATGTTGGCAACAATAAGAGGATGCATTAGAGGAACAAGAATAAAGGAGGGCGTTGAGTGGGAATAGAGCTTTTCACAAAATCCTGTTTCAGCTACCCATGCTGACAGTATCTATGTAAAATACTAGCCAGGAGAGAGTGCAGGTCCCTCAGGGAACTCAGGCTTAGAATCTGGACACCAAGGTCCTGCATCCTCCCACCCCGACATACCCCCGCCAATGAACCTCACTAAGGTTCACATCCTTCCTCTGTGACCTGGGGACACTGGCCCTCTAACAGAAGTTGTGGGAATGGAATGAACTGATAATTACCTTCCTGTGACCTTCCCCGCTTCCAGCAGCGATAGAGAAATGGGGACAAGAATCAGAGTGTTGCCCGGCCAGGTGTGGCTCAGCGGTTGAGCGTCGACCTAGGATCCAGGCGATCGGGTTCGATTCCCAGTCAGGGCACATGCCCGGGTTGTGGGCTCAATCCCCAGTCTGGGGCATGCAGGAGGCAGCTGATCAGTGACTCTCTCATCATTGATGTTTCTATCTCTCTCTCTCTGAAATCAATAAAGATATATTTAAAAAAAAAAAAGAATCAGAGTGTCTCACCACAACTCAGGAACCTACAGGACAGCAGAGTTTAAGATTCATCCCACCCACTGGTGGAGCTCCTCTTCTAAAGCCAGTACAAAATACACTAAAAGACTAGATTTTCACAAGGATAAAACTCTGAATCTTAAAG